TCAGTGCATTGCTTGAAAAAATTCTTGATGAATTAATCACAGGTTAATCTACAAAAGATACACTTAACTGCTTTTCCCTGGCGACCATTACAACGGATAAAGCAGAGCATCTGGCAAATTATTCAAAAGTGAAAAAAAAATTGTTTCTCTTAACAAATCTAAAAAGAAGAAAATAAAGAAGAATTAGGACCAGAAGGAGAGAGATAACGTAACCGTAATAGCCAGACTATTGCCATGAACCTGCAAATGTAACAGCTAAAAAGATATAAGACAAATTTACAAATTTAGACAAAGATATGTAAGATGGTGTGGTGTGATATAAACTTACCATGTAACCACCCAACAAAACTGTTTAATAAACTAAGCTCCAAACCATGAGTAATCATCATCAAATGCACCAAAGGAATCAAACCCAGAGTAAAAGGTGCTATCAAACGCCAAGTCGTTAAAAGGAGACAGAATGTTACTGTCCAAGAGCTTTTCTTGTTCACTCTGATACTGAGGAGGCAAATCTCTTCCCGTGACGTCTTCTTCATTTCCATGTAAACCATGTGGTTGTTGAAGTACTCCTCCTCCTGGGGCCTCGAACTCGTTGTTGTGAGGCGGTGCTTGTGCATTCATTTCTATCTGTGTATGGATAATGTCTTCTTCCTGATTATGCACAAACACTGCAGAAGGATTATAAAAGTTATAACCTGACCCAAATTGCAACTCTTGGTTAGGGTTTGGTCGGTAAAGCATTGGCCTTTCGTCTACGGGCATCATATTTTGCCCATTGACAGGTGGAAGATAAGTGTAGTGGTTATTGAAATCAGGAACCACTAAGTCCAGACCATTCTCCTCTGGTCCTAAGGCAATGTTCGGTTCTACAACACCGCCCTCGTGATGAGTACCATTGATGCTATAGTCTAGCAGAGGGGCATCAACATGATTCATATCAGGTAGAATATTTCTTTGTTCAGCTTCTGGTTGTTCTACCTCTTGTTGATTGACAGTTCCGGATCTGACTCTGGGTCTTTTCCGTCTGCGGTGTTTCTCTGCTTTATCTTGATCTCTTACGGATTCTGAGATGGCTGCCGGTTGTTCTTTTTGAATTTGATTTCTTCTACTATCTTTAGATGACACTGAACCTGAAACATCTTCGGTTCCATCAACATCATAGTCACTGTCACTGTTGATCACAGGTTTTCTCCTGTCTGCGTTATTACCCCTTCGATTTGTCTCTGTTACATTAGATGTTCCATTGTCACTGCTAGGCTGCTGAATCAAGGATTCCTCTTGGTTCAAAACCGCCAACCAAATCGCACTTTCTTTAGCCGTCATCTTGTCCTGTAAACATTTCGACTGGCGAACATGCCTCTTAATCTTTGCGATATCAGGCGACATATGATTGATCACAGCCGTTAAAACTCCAACTTTCCACATCTTCTTGAGATCGTGCGGTTTCCTATACGGAGGACTCTGGCTTTGGGGAAGACCGAGTTTCACCCACCATTCTTCATTCCCCGTTGGCCACCAAGGCGGAGGAGTCCCTTTCTCCAACGGATACTTCCTCTGAGGAGGATCACAATGTTGCATCAAAGAAGATAACAAAGACCCTAAAGTTGCATCTTGCAGGTCTTGGAGAACAAACTGAGAATTTCTATTCCCATCTGATTTCCCAAAAGCTAAGCACTCTTCTTCGTATTTAGCAATCGCAGCTGGTCCGTTCTTATCAAACTTCACTTTCTCTTTCCACCAAGCTCGTATATTGTCAGAGGAACCGCTCACTGGCTTCCCCTTTTCCGGTATTATACCGTAAACAAACCCGCGGACTTTGCAGACTTCCATTAACTTCAACATGTACTTAAGTATACCATCTTGAGCTCTAGACATTTTCTTCCTCTGCGCTTGATCAGAGATTTTCTTAGGCGCCTCCTTCGTTTGAGCTCCCTGAGAACCGACTTTTTGTCGTTCTTTGATCCTCTTAAGCCTAACACGATCCTTCCACATCCGTCTCTCGAGGTCTTCCGCATCAATCTCTTCATCACTCACATCAATCTCCGCAACATTATCACTAGCCAAGTCATCAGGCTCATTCTCCATTCTACCACACAATACATTAACAAAATATTCAGCCAAACAAATTGTAAACAAAGATTCAAATAAAAGACACAACTTTTTTGCATTGAAACAATAACTCTCAATATAGAGGAAAAACCCAATCTGGGAAATTCAATTTTTCAATTGATTGATCAATTGAAAAATTGAGATTAAACCTAAGGCCTAACTCTGTTCAACGATCCTATAAACCCT